GGGGGTGTCCCGGGACCTCTTTTCACCTGATAGATCGTTACTCACCGTCCATGACCTTTAACTTGTCCTGCTTTTTGTTCAGTACATCTTGTGACATCCCTTTTTTATTACGAATACAAAGTATAAAAACACTCCAGCACCATGATATCCTCAAGTCCCAACCACAGAGCTCAGAGACAAACAATCGGGGTGCCACGCCGACGCTGTTACACTTTGTAGGTGACGCTCCTTCCTGTGGGTAGTCCACAGCCTTTGACCCGGGCGATGCTGACTACTGTTGCTTTGTGTGTGTTGCTACTAGACAGATCTAAACAGAATGACGGTGAGATCGACACCAGGGATCGCTTGAACAGCGAAACGGAGTGAGATAAGCTGCTGACGAGTACGATCAACCACTACATACATTGTTTTAGCTGCGAAGCTCAAGTCTACAGTAAATGGACATGCAAGGAAGTTAAACAAAGCCGATGAAGCTGGAGAGCCGTAGGTGCGCAATTGAATATTTCCTCATTATTAACAGCCTAACTAACTTGTGGCGCCTGCAGTTGTTTGTGCATTTTAGAAATAAGATGGCTCACTATCTCTACAGTTAACCCTGAGTAAAATACGAAGAGATGTCAGCACCGATTGTTTTTTTTTGCGCTGCTCACACTGCGTGTTGTTACTGGACGGACCGCACTGCCGTTTGCGGGCGCAACAGCTATTACAGGCTGGAGGGGTCTTTTATTCGATTCAGTGGGTGTTCTAACGGGTTCAACTGCTGAAAAATCTGTGTTTGGTGTTGTTTGCAGAGGGAGTGTATCCGTTCCCAGTAGAGTGCGTTTTTCAGGTTTATCGCGAAGTCTACAACGTAGTGCATTCTCCGTCAGCGACGACTCCTGATTCAAGCGAAGGTACTCGTTATGAATCAAACGCCATTTGCCACGTGAGCCCTTCGGTATTGCCGCGGCCACTGTTTTTAGGTAATCGAGTGTTGCAATATTCAAAACAGGCAACGTTTGCAATGTGGCAGGTAGCAAGGCGGGGGTACAGCGGTTGACGGTAAATATATTGCCGGCTCAAGCATACCAATAGTTGGAGCTGACATTGTCGCGTATGAAGGGCTGTTAACATTACTTTCTTCAATGGAAGGCAGCTCAGCTGCCTGTGTGCGTGTATCGAGTGCAGATTCAGCGCTTGGCGTACGCTCGTCGTCAGGCTCTGCAGATAGCTCGCTACTCGCTCTAACTCTCTCTATCGAACTTGCTGGCCCTAGATTGACTTCGTTTTTTTTTTCTCTTTTTACTGCGATTTTCGGATCTCTTCAACCACTCCCACTGACGGAGGAGGTGTAGTTTTGACTTAGCCGAAATATTGGAGCACACGCTGGATGCAAAACCATACACCTTGTAGTAAACTTGCTTCTTCTTACTCACGCCAAAAGCATCACGCACCATTGCAAATATGCGTTTCATCGCTCGCTTCGTCAATAGAAACCTTGTCATCGTTGATGACACCTTGTTTAGTTGAAAACAAAATGTTCGCCGTTGCTGATTGACCATGATGCTTTCTCAACTGTTCGTCTATTGCGTCGAGTCGCTTAGACACAGCCCGGATTTCTTTTCTTTAAATCGAGGCATGGATTAGTGAGTTGCAGTACAGCTGTGTTGAACAATACTGTTGCGACAGTGGCACACTCCGCCCACGGCCTCTTGGATGCTAGCTGAGCCGAACGCAGTTCCTTCAACAGCGCAAACTCATTCGACGAAATCTCCTCCGCAGCATCGTATTCCGGCTCAAGACCTAACAGCTTCACAAACTGCATTTCTGACAGCGGTTTGTCCTTGACGTGAACTCATGTTAGCAAATCGCGGATGTCAGTAGTGCGAGTCGTGTGACGAAGAAGCGTGACCTCCATGCGCTGCACGTTGAGAGGAACCATTCTATACAGTCGCTCCCATGTCTGACTAAGTGGGAGGTGGTCTCCATCAGGACGATACATCTGGAGAGGCTGGCCTATGTTAGGTTTGTATGACAGCAGTTTGTGCATGTATTCGAGTTGTGGTATATCTGGGAGGACACCCTTCACAGCAGTGCACTTTGACATACAGTCATGAAGTCTGAGCTTGGGTAAGCTGGGTTGCGGTGGTGTCTTGCTCCTGTCTTCAAGTTGTGCTACACGAAGACCATTTAATTTTCAAAACTGAGTTAGCCTATTGCAAGTATTGCATTCCGTACCTGTAAGATGAAAATATCAAGGATGCGAAGACCAACTTGGACTGACATAACACGATCAAGTAACTTGCGCAACTTCGAGTGAGTCGCTTCTAGCTGACTGGTCGAAACTATTCGGGTGCTTCCGCTTTCATCTACATACTGATTATCGCTCAAGTACATATCTCCACTCCAAATCTGCTCCAAATTACTAGCTATACACCGCTTCCACTCGGATTCTTTCACATTTACGCTAGACTGTGCGATACTTGCTAACGCCTTTTGTACTATTGCCTCCATATCCCCGCGAAGATTGTGCTCGATATCGTAAATTGCTGCCGATAATTCCCCAGTCAGCCACTTTCGTTTGGCAGGTTCTTTAACTTTCTCAGTAAACCGTTGAATAACATGAAATGAATCTTGTTTGGCAGCGCCTGCCTCGCCGAAGACTTTCTGGACTAGATTGCGGTCCACATTAGAATTTTCGCAAACGCATACCCGAGTTCCGTCGACATTAGGCTTCATTTTTTATTTCGCTAAGTGCTCGCAAAACTGTTTCTGTTTCGGCATGATTTTCAGAACGGGTTAATGCTCTTCCCATTATTTGCCCTACCTCATTTTGAACTAGTAACAAACGTCGAATGCTACCAGGTTGAATTTTTGTGTTATAGCGCCATGAACCTTTAGCTTGCTGCAAAATATCTGCGAGTGATCAAGCTTAATGGCACAATTCCATACTATATCGGCCATTTGGGCCTCACAAGAGGGTGGCGTAAATGTTAGTTTGAGTTAGCCAAATATTTCTTAGCGTTTCAGAGTCCATACACACGTTCTTATCTATATGCTGCTCTTCTGTTGGTGGAAGAGGTGATGCATACGCGGCCTCTACTGCGCGACGTATCTCCACTGCCACGCCTGCAAATGCCAATAAACGATAGTATCGCTTTTGCCGACGCAGGTTAATGTTACTTACTGCACCTGCAATACCCTTCGTCGTCAGCATACTGTCAAATATAATGTCAAATATTTCTACAAAGATGCCGCTTTTGTAAGTTAGTAAGTAAGGAAAGTTGAGAAGCAGCACTTTTGACGAGGATATGTAATCTTCATCAATAGTAGAAAACGAACGACCCGACAAACCGGAGCATGTATACCTTGCATAATACAATACCGTTTACGTCCAGTACAGTGCGCTGCATGTACTCTTTGACTTTCGGTTCACAGGGACAGTCTTGAACAATGCATTTAGGCTTTCGAGTAGGCGTTAGACACTCTGGGGCCCACGTCAGAGTAGGATACGCAAACCACGTCGATAGTAGCGTGTACTTCTTTCTCTCAGGGTACTTAAGAGCCGGGGGAAAATGTCGTTGCGCAATAGCAGCACCTACGGCTTCGCGCTCGGGCTTCTCCTTCGCCATAGACACCACTATTTACAGTTTGCTATTTTCTACAACTCTCCGCAATCAAATCGGTACACACCGATATACCGGTATTTAAGCGGCGGGCGGGAAGGAAGGCCACCCTGCGGGTTGCGGTATTGCGCGGGCCTGTGTCCAAGGTGGCGATTGCAGAAGCCGAAATGCTGCGTGAGAGTCTCGGTGTGCAGCGGTTTCTGAGGGGTCACGAAGACGAAGAGAGGCTGGCCGGAAAGAACATGTTCGACATTAAGAAGCTCGATGATGCGTTGAATGACGCCGGTTACGCCAACACGCTGTTCCAGAGATGGAAGAGCCACGATTTGAGATCTTAATAAATTAACTGATGAACACATACAAAATCAGAACTTGAAAAATATCACTCAATATATTATATAATGTGATATTTTCAAGTTCA